AGAGAGAGAGAGAGAGAGAGAGAGAGAGAGAGAGAGAGAGAGAGAGAGAGAGAGAGACCCGCAGGTAGGTGTCTATGAAAGGCCAATGCACGAAGTTGTTGAAATATCTGGAAATTAATATGGTCAAAGACAGCAGAACGTTCAAAAAGCTGTAGTTTCAAAGCACTCACAGAGAGAGAGAGAGAGAGAGAGAGAGAGAGAGAGAGAGAGAGAGAGAGAGAGAGAGAGAGAGAGAGAGAGAGAGAGAGAGCTCCCATGTTACCTGGGGGACAAATCCAATAATGCGCTTATACGCACGTATGTTATCTTCCTTTCCATTGACTAGCACTTTTCCGGACAGAGACGTCTGGTTGCTTTTCTTGCCTGCAAGGGCTGTCAGAAAGGTTGTCTTCCCAGCTCCTGAGGGTCCCTGTTGCGTGCAGCATTCAGAAACCATAACAATCCAGAGTTGGCCAAACCTGGGATTAGAATCTAATGCTGATAAGGGGAAGAACTTTCCTTTTCACCTTTTTGCAAGGGAGACACCTTTGGTAGGGAGGTCATACCAAAATCCCCGCCCACCAGTCAACTGCAGTTACTACACCCAATCCTTGAGTTTTTCTTTTTTTTCTTCGAACTATAATCCGCCCGCTTCAACAAATAACGAGCACACAGTCCTACCTGTCTTGCAGGAGGCTCCAGTCTATTGGTGGGGAGCTATCACCTGCTGGAAAGTGGCACCAGCGTCCCCTGAGATACATTGTCGAGTCGGTAAATCAGCATGTATTGAGAACTGGGCCCAGCGTCCCTCATGAACCTCACTGATGATGCCACTGATACTGCTGATTTTTTTGCTATCAGGCCGTTGAGAGCTTTTTTTTTAAAGGCGTGTCATCCTTGCGCAGGGGCCATGATAATCTTCTCTGTATCGTTCCAATTTTAACGGATGAAAAAGAGCACCAAAAACCCGAAATTGCATACGCCATCTGACCATGCCTGCCTGGGGGGACTGCCTCTCGGCCTGCATCTCCCTATCTGGCTGCCTACTTGCTCGTGCCATAGTAACAGGTCCCCGTCTGCAGATTCGTGGATTTAAACATGCCACCCAGCATCCCCACCCACACAGCATACACACACACATCACGACATGCGGCCCCAAGAGCATTTCCACAATCCTTGAGGGATTGATTCACTACCTAGTTCACTTTTTCCAAAAACCAATACTGTGGGAAATTCCGGATTGTGTTTACTCCCAAACCTGCATGTGATGCTTGCACTTTTTCAAACATTTTTTATTCTTTGGGAAGGGTGACGGTCTTGAGGTACCATCATAGAACTGATCGGCACGAGGTAATACTTGCGTTCGACAAAGATGGATTTACTCTTTGTTCTCCATAAAGGACGATGGTGCTTGTCCCAAAACTTGTGAATAAGACCCAACAGATCTGCTTTCTCGCTTCTGTAATGAACCCAGTCAGGAAGATACTCATCAGACGTCGAAGTTCCAGTAGTCTCAGATCTGTATAAAAGTCTCCAGTTAACGTGAAAATGATATCTGCAACAGTATTTCGTTAGCAATAGACGAAGAGAGTGGAGGGAGTATAGACAAGGGAGAAGGTGGAAGTAGTCAAAGATCACACAATAGTAACCCAACCAACCCCACTTCTTCGGGCTTCCTCTCCCTCCATATCATCAACCAGTATACGATAACAAGTATGATAATCCTGCTCACACAGCAGTGTCATGTGGCACTCTTATCTCGTGAAGACCATGAAGACAACAGCAGAATATAGTGACGACGTCAACCTCAGGTGAGTACCCGATCCCAATCATCCACAGACCCCGAACTTCCTCCTTGTCCGCAACCAGTCACCTCATGTAGACAGCGTGGCCAATGCCACGCCAGATGTAGAGACAGGTGGCATCCGCCACATCATCAATGAAGACAGGTAGCAGCGCCACATCAGCAATGCAAGTGGCATGCGCCACATCAGCAATGCAGACAAGTGGCCTGCGCCACATCAGCAATGTAAACAAGTGGCCGGCGCCACATCAGCCTTGAAGACAGGTGGCAGCACCAAGTCAGCAATGCCTGGCGCACACTACAGCAAGCGCCAGCATGCTGTCACAGCCCGCGTCGTCGTCCACAGTGCCTGCACACAGCCAGCATCAAGCCAGCGTCTCGCCAGCGTCGTGCCAGCATCAATGCCACCGACCAGTCAGAGTCGAGCCAGCGTTCAAACAGCATAGCAAGACTGAAAGACTGAATGTCGACCTCCTGAAGACCAGCCCTTAAGTAGCATTTGACGAGGCTGTCTGGTCACGGGTCCCTCCCCCACAGTCGTCCAGATTGACTCACAGCCGAGGGTCTGGATTGTGTACAGTTGCAGACTTCCCTTTGGGCCTGATGCTGTCTGGGTACCTGCATACAAACAAATGTGTGTGTCTGACCGGCGGCCTGGGCTGGGTACACTTTGACTGTTGGATAGTCCGACAATTGACTTAGTCAACTGTATCTTGTCCAGGCCCTGAATCTTTACGTTGGGTGTTCTTCCCCCCTTCGGCCTGGGTCTGAGTGCGGCCTGTGGCCCTCAAACTTTCCACGAGGCATACAACATGGGCTATTGCATTCCTGCCGGCCCAATTTTCGAGTTCCATCGCAGAAATACATCAATTCTCACTCAACCCACGTTCATATGCAGCAACGATGTCAGGAGCAGTAGGTAGGAGTTCTTTCTTACAAAACCATATGGCTTCAGGTGGAGGTTGGGACTTGAACTGTACCTTATACTGCTTCTGAGGTCTTCCTCTGCCACCTATAGAAAAATAGCCATGTTCAAGTATCTTTTCGACTGCATAACCTCCATTCATAGAGGGTGGAAACACAAATGGCCTATTCAGAAGGTTATCACCTTCTACATAGGGTAGCAGCTTAGACGCATCGAAGACAGGGTATGTCCTTAGGTGTGGAGGCACATCTATGCGGTAGGAAGGTCCATCTGCCTCTCCAATCACCTTGAGAACTTCCCAAGGGCCATAGTAGAGGCAGTTTTTGAGACACATTTTCTTCTAAGGAAAACTCTTTAGACTTAACCCAGACAAGATCTCCTTCTTGAAATTGTCAAGGTCGGCGATGTTTATTGGTCTATTCAATCATTTGTAGTTGGGCCTTCTGTATGTTTTCCTTAACCTTTTTACTGTCTTCTTCACACAAAACTGCGAATTCACACATACCTGGGGGTAGCCTCTAAATTTGGCCCCTTGTTAACGCGTCAATGGGACGCCTAGGCTTCCATCCTTTATGTAGTGCATTAGGCGTTCTCCCTGTAACAATATGTATACTGTTATTATAGGCACTGGCAATTTTAGGCAAGTTCTCATCCCAATCTATCTGATCAGGTCGGACATACATTTGCAGAAGTTCTTGGCAAAGATGGTTCATTTGCTCAGTTTGGCCATTCGTTTCAGGATGTCTGCCTGACGACATGGTCAACCTGGTCCCATAGACTTCCATCAATTTCCGCCATTGTAGACTATTGAACCGAACATCCCTATCAGAGACGATGTGAGGGCTTGTTCCTTTGGTAGACAAGACAAGTCCGCACGTAGGTTAATACATCTTCCTTCATTCCTTTCCATTCAAAACGTTTGCGCAAATCAGTATACATCTTCTTAAAACCAAAGTGACCTTCCGCATCATGAAATTCCCCAATGATTAAGCTTTTGATTGGTTCTTGGTGAGGAACACATGATATTTCTTTGGTTTTATCCAAAAAGAAGAGTAAGCCATCAGTCATTCGATATTATGGGAATGACTCAGGTTTTTTTCGTAAAGTCTCAATGACAGGACTCCAAATCGGATCACTCCCATAACCCTGTCGGATTTGTTCTTTCAGTTCGTTCCCGATATCGAGGTAGGAGAATAGTTCCAAAGAAGTCGCCATGCCAGGACAAGGCATCCGCAACCACGTTAGATTTACCTTTGATTGTTTTCAAGTCAAAGTCAATGGTATCAATGAAAGCGTACCATCTTACCAGTTTGTCAGAGAGTCTAGGCTGAGTCTTGATCCACTTCAAAGTCGAGTGATCATAATAGACAGTGAAATGCCTCCCTAACAAGTAATGCTTCCAGGTGTCCAGTGCAACAACTAAGGCATACAATTCCCTTCCATAGGTGGAGTTGGCCTCTTTCTCTGACTGAAGTCTTCTGGACATAAACTCAATAGGTCTATATCCCTTACCGTCGTCCTGCTGTAGCACAACCCCAATCTCATACTGACTCGCGTCAGTCGTGACGATGAAAGGAAGAGAAGGGTCAACAATTTTTAAGACGGGGTAGTGAGTCAGAATATATTTTAGCTTTCTGAAAGATAACTAACAATCTTTGTCCCACAACCAAGGTTTTTCTTTCTTTAGTAGTCYTCTCATATCTCAATTCAGTTATAATCTTCGGTTGGGGCCAATCTCGAATTGTTGTAATCTTCTTTTCTTCAGACCTTTCCCTCCTCGTTCACTAT